ACACAGAGGTGGTGTGGAAGCACTTTCTTCTTTCTTTGAAGATCACAGATGTATGGGAATGGACATTTTATGTTGCACTACAATTGTTATATTTTGTAAGCACCAAAGGAAGTTCACATTATAACTGGATACATTGAGCATATTACTGAACATATTTACTTTGAACGCTGAAAAGTGCTGTTTTGTAAAGATGATAAAACTCACCGTGTTAGGGTACAAGTCTATATATGTACCGGCACATGCACTAAATTTACACATGATGTTTAGAATATATGTTTGCATAGTATAATATATATGTATATCATTTTAGTTTAAACACAGTATAGCACAGTGCTACACGTGCTTAAGTTTAAGGAATCTTCCAAAAAGTTTAAAACCATCCACGATGTGGAGAAAGGCCTTAATCTTGCTTAGTAGAGGTTAGATAAGACTTATGGGAGCTTTGTAGTCATTGGGCTTTCCTTGTTTAAGAGACCAGAGAGGTTTGGGGAGTTATCTAAGAAAGAAAACCAGAGGTTTCAATATCTTTACAATCTGCTTCTCAAACTTAGAATTGTTAGAGAAGAGCCACTTTTACCAGGCCTCAGCTACCTGGACACTGTGCATGGTATAAACGCAGTGGTAGCAAATTTGCCCTACAATCTAGAACAGAAATGGGCAAAAGTGGGTTTGAGATAAAAGGAATAACATTGAGTGTCTTTACCTTTTTTTCTAACCAAAGCTAATAACTATCAGAGTTTCTCAGTTGACATAAATCATACATTTAAAGAAGAAAACCTTTTCTTCACCCTTGCAGTCAGGCTACTCCTGCACTACCAGCATTAAGTGCTTGTTTTCATCTAGGTTCGAAAATTAAAAAAAAGGTTATACTGACCCAATTCTCAGAGTCGACTGGCTGTTAAACTGGTTCTTCCAGCCTCTCTCCTTCTCTGCTCCAGGGGTCTAAGGTCCCGTGAGTAATGATGTTCAATAAACTGCGTATTGGATGTGAGGACATTGAGGGACATACCAAGGAGGCCGGGGGGAATAAGGTGTTGGGAAAACAGTTTGCTGGCATCAAATTGATGGCCCCCATACTTGGTTGAGATTTTAGAGCTTTAGAATAACAGGAAGGGAGCCACGGGAGGCATTACAGTGGTATTGGGTTGCAGTCCCGTTCAGCCTAGACCAGGGCTGGACAAATCCCAGGAGCCAGGTAGCCAATTCTACATTAAAAAAAAAAAAATATAGCTGGTTCCCAACTTTTGAGGTTTTCGCGAGTTGTTACTGCTTTACTGCTGCTTCTATTCACAGTACAAGTCTATGCATTGATTGACTATTTGAAAACAATTTACTCTGTGCATGGCTGATACCTTATGTCAACAGTTGTTACTTATTGTTGCAGCTAACCTACCCTGCCTCTAGTGGATAATCTACAAATATTTATTAAAACAATGAAAATATGAAGACCAAAGACATAACAAATGTGAAAGTCACCCTGGAAATTATGCCTATGGCAAAAAACTACAAAAAAAAAACACTCAAAATATAGATTCACTGAAAAAACAAAACAGTACTACCCCTTTAAATCAGCCAAATGGTTCTTTTCTACTGGTGAGACAAGAATTATATTACAAATATATTAGGATGTGCTAGGTTAGGTTTTTGATGTGGAGTTGCCCGGGATTGTAACTGGTCCATTAGTAACCACAATCTACACCATTATTATTATTCAGGATTTATATATCGCCAACAGTTTGCGCAGCACTTAGGTTGAGGTGGCATTGGCTTCCCTGAAGAGATGAGTCTTTAGTGATGGACTAAAGGCAGTCAGAGTGGGAGATAGAAGGACAGGTTGGGGTAAAGCGTTCCAGAGGATGGATAATTGGATATCATATTATGGCTGAATGGGAACTGGTACATTTTCCAGCATGGTTTCACAGCCACACATCAGCATTTAAATATATCTTCAATAAATTGTGTTTTTTTCTGTAAAACTGGAGTGGACACACTAACTTCAAAACGTCAAATTAATTCAGTGTCCAGGAAAGGCTGTGACAACTCTTTGGTGGGGTTGGTGCACATGGGTGTTTGTGTTTTGTGGGCCAGCGGGGTTGGATCCGCTGGCCCATCTGCAGCCCGGGACTGGGTCGGGAGGGCGTCAGGAGGAGAAGGGAGGGAAATCAGCTCCTTGCTGACCTCCCTCTGTGCTGTGAATGCAGAAGTGATGTGTATTACATCACTTCCGCATTCACCTGTCAGTCATCTGGCTGCTATAGCCAGAGGGAAGAAGCAAATCTCTGCTTCATCAGCTTCTTTTGGGGTCCCCATGTGACATTAGGGGTCCTAGAGACCCCTAATGTCTCCATAAAGAGGACTTGTCAGTGTGCCTTTGCTAATATATAGGGGGATTGTATCCCCCTATGTAATAGCAATAACAATAAGTGTAAAAAAAAAATATATATATATATATAAATAAAAAGTTAAAAAAAATAAAAGTCACAAATAAAAAAAGTAACCCCCCCAAAATGTTTAAGTCCACCCCCTTCGTTTCCGCACATATAAAGGTAAATACGCGTCCGGTGCACCAGCGCGCAAAAACGACACTTGCGCTACACGTTACATATCGCCGCGAACGTCGAAGTGAGAGCAATCATTTTAGAGCCATCAATCACTGATAACACTAAACTGATGAGCGGTAAAAGCTTTTAAAGTGTCGCCTATGGCCAATTTTGTGTAATGTGGTTTTTTGAGGTTTCGCGCGCATGCACAATTTTAAGGCTTGACATGTTTGGTGTCTTTTTACCCGACGTGACCCCGTCTTTTATATTTTACCAAAAAATTGGGTAATAATAAATGTTTTAGAATGTAATATTCGGGTTTGTTCTGGATCACAGAGAGTGGTGTTCAGCTGCAATTATGCTGCTTTCACTATGCATTCCTTTTATACCACCTTGGATGTCATTGGGAATGCAATATGAAAGCACAGTATACATATTTTAACACAGGCCGCTTACTTTTCCCTAAAAGCATGCTGCTGATTTACCAGTGAGTCCGATGTGTGTGTATACCAATCATATGACATCTTTAAAGTAAAACTCCAACAAGGACAACCCCTAACTAGGGATGCCCCGATACTACTTTTTCAAGACTACGTACAAGTACAAGTACTTCCCCTCATGTACTTGCCGATACCAATTACCGATATTCTTAAAGGGACCAAAAAAAACAATACAGACTAATGATTTTAGGCCAATTTCTTTATGATTATGAAGAACTTTAATTTAAGACTGTTTTAGAACAATAAAACATTTGTATTTGCTTTTACACAGCTGTAGTGAAACTACAAATCCGATCATGCATCTGCCTCTAAGATCATAGTGTAAAAACAACTTTATCTAGAAAAGCAAACAGCTAAAAGTGTACTCACAAACCACCAATAGTGACAGGCTTGAAGTAATAGGATCTCAAAAAAGCGGAGGCTGGATAGACCTCTGAGGCTTTGAAAGTGCGGATGAAGAGCTGAGCCTTCCTTTCTGCACATACTCCTCTTGGTTGACGCGTTTCTGGGGCCGAACCCCTTGCGTCAGAACCTGTTCAGATGAAAGGTGTTCGGCCCAAGAAACGCGTCAACCAAGGGGAGTATGTGCAGAAAGGAAGGCTCAGCTCTGTATCCGCACTTTCAAAGCCTCAGAGGTGGTTTGCGAGTACACTTTTAGCTGTTTGCATTTCGAAATAAAGTTGTTGTTTACACAATGGAGGCGCTTCTTGTGCTTCTCTGTTAGATATCCAGTTTCCCTGACTGTGAGGAGCTGCCCCGCATCTCTAGAGTTCTTCCTCTTTCCACAAGGACAGTTTTATCTGGCGCCAGTCGTTCATTTTTAGGATTTTTATAGCGCCAACCGTTCACATGGCGCTTAACAATATAAGAAAGACATTACAGTTACAATACAAATCAGGAGGGCCCTGCCGGTGAGGGCTACATTTTTGTTCAGTAACCTCCCCACTATGATCTGATATGGGACCATTTCTACAAACCATTCTACATTTTATCATTAAAAGCTATCCCTTAAAAGGAGAATTATGAGCCTCATAATCTGAGCCGACCTGTGAGAATAAAACTGTCACAGGTCGGCTCAGTAGATCGGGAAGTGAGCGAACACATACCGCCGCTCGCTCACTTCTCGATCTATCCCTGCAGAGAGCCGTGATGTGTTGCCCATGACAACAGGAAGTGAGAGCAAATATCTGCAAAGTGAGGGAAATTCACTCTGACATTTGTAATTAGAAGTGTCCCTGTAATTGTATTCTGGTGACAATTCAAAATTTAGGATTTGACAAAGGCCTGCCAGGGCAGAAAGGGTGAATCTTCCTAGCTGGTACACAGACAGAGTCTATATTCTATTCAAAACTTTTGTTAAAAATGGCTTTAGGTCCGCTTTAACACAAAGAACAGCAATTCAGAAATGCAGCCTATTGCATCCAGTGACAAACCTTTATAACACAACGCACATAGATGAAGGAACACTCATGGACATGAGTGTTTCTCTCTTGACCAACATAAAAAGGATATAAACTACTACAGAAAGAATGGGCTGAAATGACACTTGTGGGGGTGAAGGCGTTATCAGGAACTTAGCAGACAACCTGTGTATGCAATAAAGAAAGATCCTGGGAGTGCATCTCCAACACAGGGCGAGACGCCTATTTATCACAGATTATTGGCGCAAAACACTTCAGAGATAACATGGCTGTGGCTGACTCCATAATGCTGGCAGCCATAAATAAAGATATTACCATTATTGACTTCACCCCTGAGATATCTAGATTTCAGAATGGAAGAATCGTCTCAGACATAGTACCCAATGGATCATTTCTTTTATTGCACTAGGAAAAGGAAAGGGATGATCTGAATGGTTACTAAGGACGGACAAGCAATTGTTTCTCCAGACACCCCTGTACATAAGGCTCAGCAAATGTCTGGATTAGTAAAACATACTTGCCTCTTCTGTTCATCTTACCTTTTGAAATCAAGCTTAATGCCTTGGTTAGAATTAGAGACAGCAGTCAGCCAGTCCTTTAGGGTAATATCACTGTCAGTGGCAGGAGGATGAGCCATGATTGGCTCCCTATCACCTGATCCACGAAGGAGAACATCTGCTTCGATCATATGGGCCACGCCTGTAAACAGAGAATATAAGGGTTTAAAGCTAACGTCCATGCAAAAGTGAAACACCACCAATCAAAACTGAAAGTCTTATGTCATGCCGAAGATGTGGTTTACCTAATAAACTGTTGTATGTCTTTAAAGAACTCTGGCAAAAAATGTTATTAACCCTTGCAGTGGGGCTACCACCGCACTGCAGGGATTAACTGCTCAATTTCCTCTACGGACTAAAATAAAAAAAGTTATACTCACCCAATCCTCAGAGCTGTCCAGCTGTCACTGCGCTCCCTCCTGCCTCTCTCCTTCTACTCTGCAGCAATGGTATGTCCCTTGGCGTCTTCATGATTAACATACAATGTGTTGGATGTGATGACTTGAGGATCCTTAGAACGCTGCAGCTAAGGGGGAGCAAGGCTGGAAGGCTCCGAGGATCAGGCGATTACAACTTTTTTATTTTCATTTCTAAATTAAAATGAGCATTTAACCCTTCTAGTGCGGGGGTAAGCCCCACTGCAAGGGTTAACAAAAGTTTGCCCAGAGTTCTGCTTTAAGAAAGCCAGAAATATAGTGCTGGCCACAAGCGTAAAGCTGGCCACAGTGGCTCAAGAAGAAGCACACTAAGGTCCTGGAGTGGCCTGGCCAGTTTCCAGACCTTAATCCTATAGAAAACTTATGAAGGGAGCTTAAAGCGACAGCCAAGAAACCTTACGGATTTAGAGAAGATCTGTAGACCAAAATCTCTCGTGAGATGTATGCAAACGTAGTAACCAACTCCAAGAAACGTCTTACCTCTGTGAGGTGATGAAGTGTTTCTCCACCAAGTACTAAGTCATGTTTTGCTTGGGGATGAAATACTTATTATACTCACTGAACTGCAACTCAATTTATAACATTTGTATCATGTGTTTTATCTGGATGTTTGGTTGATATGCTGTCTCTTTCATTTAAAATACACCCATGATAAAAATGATAGCGCTTTCATTTCTGTGTAAGTGGGCTAACTTACAAAATCTGCACGGGATCAAATCATTATTTTCCACGCTGTATAATACCCCAATGTGTGATTACCATCCATGTGCGGTACCATACTCACTCTCCAATGCCTGCTGTAACTTGTCTTTGCTGTTTGCTGCATGCTCCCAGATAATCTCTATTCCATCTTTGGTTTTTATCAGACCTTTGCTCAGGAAATAATCTAGGATATCTTCGCCCCATGGACCTGTTGCAACTTTTAACAGAAAATATCTTTAAAAACACAATTTTCTTATAGCGTCCTTCCATAGCTTTTTGATACTTTCTATGACAGCTATTTTTACTTATAGAACGGCAAGAAACAACTAAAATCTAAAGATATTTACTGAAGACTGCTAGCATATGCATTAGAGCTCACATTATGGTCGTGTATATATGCTGCTATGATGAAATGCATGTCACTTGTTAAATGTGTTGGTGGCATATCCATCCCAGGACTCCCAAGTCCAACAGTCAAATGACATGGTCATACACCCCCAATGTAGAAAAATAACAGTATTTATCCAACTTTAATGATCTAACAGCCATTATGGGGTGAGCAAATGAAGAATAATAGAAAGGCTTCCCGAAGAAGGCACCTAGCCTTTTGGTCATGTGATCTCTGTTAAAGGACAAGCTCACAGTTCATATTCCTGATCCTTTCCTTCAGCAGGCCAAAATGTATGGTTTTGGAATGAGCACAGCAATAACAACTGGAGCATTTTATGTAGGAAAGGACTTCAAATTCTCTATTTCTCTGTTAATAAATCCCAGTAAAACTTTAAACATAAACAGATGTGTAGAAGTCTACTTACAGTGACCCCTTTCTTTGCCCTCCCAGCAGCAGTATATACTCATCTTTTCTCACTTCTTTGCTGCTCCATTCGGCTGCCAGGATCAGAGAAAGTAAGTCACTTTAGAGCTTACACAGGGCTATGGAATCCTTACCTGTCCCCATGTGACTGCACCAGGCCAATAACAAGGCACCAGCTCGGTCACATGGGAGAGTGGGAGCAAATGACATGCTCACCTATACACAGAAGTGCCAGGCATTTAGTTTGTTCTCAGCAGCTGGACAGAATAGTGGAGGAGCAAAGGAAAGGTGATTATAGTGTATGCTTCTTTTACTTTGCCCTGCATAGGCAAGCAGTGGTCTCATTATGTGGTCCAACGTGCCCCCTGCTGAGTCAGACCTTTAGCTCTGCAATCAGCTAAGCTCATGCTCCCTGCTGATTGAAGAGGTCTGACTCATCCAGGGGGCGTGTTGGACCTTTGCATAGATACCGCTGCTTCTTTACAGAGGACAGGGGTCCTTCTCTGTGGCATGCTGGCAGGGGAGAGACTCTTCTATTCAGGCTTGCTTTATAAAATAAACAAAAAACTAAGGCCTCATTCACACACAACGCAAGGAAAATTGTATATTGCGTCTTTGCGTATATATACGAGCGTACAGGTATTCCTCACTTAACGACCGAGTTCCGTTCCTACGACCAGGTCGTTAAACGAATTGGTCGTTAAGTGAGGAACTCTATACAGTACTGTACTGCATTAGTACAGTACTGTATAGCGTTGCAGATGTACAGTACCGAACAGTGTACTGTACATCGGGCACTGAAAATACTCACCAGGACCCGCAGTGAACATCGGAGGACGTGACTTCCCCCGGCGACACGTCGCACTGGCGCTGACGCGCGAGGTCGGAGGTCGCTCGGAGGACGGTCGTAAGTGCGAGTGGTCGTAAAACAGGTAAGTCGTTAAGCGAGGAGCATCTGTATATACAAGCGTATATGCGTGCACTATATGCAATCCCAGAATGCATCACTCGTAATGGAATTTTTAATGTGCTGTACACATGTACGCACGTATAGACGCGCATAAATACGCAGAAATGCGCTGCCCAGACGCATCTCTGTTCCATTCTGTTTTTGCGCATATATACGCTACGCAAATATACGGCTCTATACATGGCTGTGTGTATGGAGCCATTTATTTGCATAGGTTGCATATGGTACAATGCGCACGTACGCGCGCATACGTGCAGCAGTGTGAATGAGGCCCTAATACTTTGCACACCTTTTGTTTTGAAACACCTGGAATGTATTTAGCTAATGTGAGCTGGATCGCTTGTATGAGGTGCCATTAGGTGCCCCTGTACCCGGGGCAGGCTGGGACCAGCACAGCCGCTCTGAGCAGGGAGATCGGAGGGATATTAGTACACAATCTCCTCTCCGGTGTCAGAATGCAGAAGTGATGTGCTTCATTCGCTTTTTCGGGGGTCCCTAGGTGACATTAGGGGTCTTGAAGACCCCTGATGTCTCCATAAAAAGGACCTGTTACATCCAGTTTGCTATCGCATAGGTGGCTTTTTTAACCCCCTACTTGACAATAAAGTTAAGCGAGAAAAAAAAATGAAAGTCGCACATAAAACAGAATATTTGAAGAAAGAAAAAAAAAACCCCCACAAAAATATTTTTAAGTCCCCAGCCCCACATACACGCGTGCAAACATGTGTGTGCATACATGCCAAAAAGACAATTGCGCCGCACATGTTGCACATCACTGCAAACGTCGGAGTTTGAGCAATAATTCTAGGGCCATCAATCACTGGTAACACCACAACGTAAAAGCTTCTAAAGCGTCGCCTATGGCCAATTTTGGGTAAGGTTATTTTTGCGATTTCGCAGGCACACGCAATTTTAAAGCTTGGCATGTTTGGTGACTATTTACCCGACGTGACCCCGCCTTTTATATTTGACCAAAAATATGGGTGAGAATAAATGTTAACATAACATAGAGAAACTGAAAAATGGCCTAACACCCCGGTCTTCAAGTGGTTAAAGGGACACACCTAACACAATTAGAACAGTATTGGGAGGCACTAAATAAAACAGCTGAATTTGGTATTTAACCCTTTCCCTGCCACCGCCATAAGGCCTACGGTGGAACAAAACCATTCCAGCTCAGTAATCCTTACGCCGGTGGCATTTACAGTTCTGCTATAAGCTCATGGTGGTTTTAGCGACCATGAGCTTACAGCAGAACTGTTCCCTGGACGGTCCTCTCTAAATTAGTAGATGTCATCAACGGCTCTCAAGCTGCTGATAACTGCTATTAACAAATATTCCGGCGCCACCCCCCCCCCCCTTAGTTTTTA